TGTTTTCTGATAAAAAATTAACAAGGTAATTTTGTTTTGGATTATGTTTTCATTTTCCTTCACATTTTAAGAAACATGTCCTTAGTTTTAACAATATGTTGCTTAATGTGAGATTTATTTTCTATATACTGTTTTTGTGTTGACTCGAAGCATCATACATCAGAAGTGAAATTCTGAGTTACTGAATGTTTGTGTTCATACCTGCCAGTGCTTCGTCCTTGGTTGGTGATTCTTAGGTCCTATCACACCTAGGCTATAATGACATTGGACTAAGGAAAAAGCTGGCTGCCTTTTATAAAGAATTGTGATAAGGTGAAAGAGGTAACAGTGGAAACTGAGGACTCAGAGGCATTTGATAGTGCCTGTTTTAGTATTTGGATCAGCAGCTGAAATGGCTGAAGTAGCTATCAAATTAGCCATCAACTATCCTACTGCATTGTTTCCTCTAGTGAAGACACAACTTTTAGTTTTTTGAAAAAGTAGATGGGCAGGTGGTGGTGTGTTCTCAAGGTTCGTTCTTTGCTTGTAGTGCGTTGTACTTATAATCCTAGTTTTATATTGCCTTTGAGTCTGTAGTTAATTGGATAATAAGATTATGAGCTTCTTGGGCAGGAACAGTGTCTTGCTCTCCATTTCATTCCTATTTCTTGGCACATAGTTGGCACTCAGATATTACTGAGTAAATGCATGATCCTTTTGGCCTCAGTTAAAGCATGAGATTTTCCTGAGGTGTTAAGTGGGAGAATTCTTTGTCTTCCTTACTCTGCAATATGATGAATCCATCAGAAAATAATGTATTTTATATATTTATTATCTTTTAGCCCCCAAATTCATTATATATTCACCAGTGATAACATTTCCTAAAAATCCATTTTCATAGACAGTTTCAAGTCGAGATATGGAAGACTTAAGCAGTAAGTCCATAACATCCCATGATAGTTGGTCTTTACCAAAGTAATTGATTCCTTCAATAATTGTATGCATAGGAGACAAAATTTAGAATTTGTGATCATTTTGATATTTTTCACCAATATTTACTGTCTCCATTACAGAGGGATAAAAGGGTTTGCAGAATATGATAAATAAGGAAAACATGTATACATCTTCTACTTATGAATGAGACTGTATTTTTCAGGCTCCAGGTATACTAGTAACCCTAAACGTAATGGTGAACTGCTCGTTGTCCTGTAAGATGTTTATAGCATTTTCTAACACAGAACTATTCAGAGTGTAGTAAGAGACAGTGCTGGCCCATGAGCTGTTTGTTATCTGTGAGGAGATAAGTTCAGAAATTGAGTTTTTAGAAACTTGCATAGCAGTTTGAAAGAACAAATATATGTCTGTCAAATCTAACACTAACAAATTGGGGCTTGTATTTGGTATATATTTATTTTGTTTTTCTGGTAATGCATTTTTAATATTTTCTAACAAAATTATTGGCCTGTAATGAATTGGAGATTCAAAGAAAAAAAAGTTCTTTACCAGAGATAAGTTGCAAAGCAGTATTCTAAAACAGTGGTTCCCATCCTTTCATGTTCACCTAACCTTCTAAATGATGCCACACTCAAGGGGGTGTGGAGTGTGGGATGTAGAGTGCTGTTTCCCTACCAGTAGCCCTCTGATAGAGAATCCTTATGTTGAAAATAATTTCCCACTGACATTCCCTTAATTGTTCTGATCTTTTCACTAAATCTGACTTAAAAATTTTTTAAATAAATGGGCTGAATAAAACAAAACGCTGGCTATTATGAGTTCTGAGCTATGCTGCTATAATATATTAAGATTGCAGGGTCAAAATACTACCCCTAAATAGACTCATTCTTCTGAAGAATGGGCATGCTAACTTTTTTTTAGCAGGTATAATATAGTCACAAATAATGTGTTTTACTGAAACTAATTAGTAACATAAATACAATATGTATAAGATTTGGCCTAATATGTAGAGCACTATAGGAGTAATGCCATTATAAATGCCCCTTTTGCCCCGTACTGACCTTTATATCTTATTACTTTAAAATATCATAATTTTTTAAAGTATAAAAATATAAATATTTCATACCTGTATGATTCCTGTTTATCATTGAATAATAATTCATCATATGCCATGTATTATAGGTTGATTATTTTATTGATGGATACCTGGGCTATTTCCTGCTTGGGTTGTTATGAAAAAAGCTGCTATATGTTTATTTGTTTGAATTTTTTGTGGATTTATGCTTTTATTTATCTTGGGTAAAAATACTGAGAAAATAATTGCTGGGTCTTAGGGTAGGCATATGTTTTTGATTTATAAAAAACTACTGGAACTTTTTCCAAAATGATGTGCCATTTTATACTCCCCACCAATGTTTATGCTACATCTTTGCCAAAAGTCTTTTTTCTGTTTTTGAGACAGGATCTCATTCTGTCACCTAGGCTGGTGTGCAGTGGCACAATTAGGGCTCACTGCAGCCTCAACCTCCCAGGCTCAAGCAGTCCTCCTGCCTTAGCTGGGACTATAGCTGTGTAGAAGCACACATGGCTAATTTTTTCTGAATTTTGGTAGAGAAGGGGTTTCTCCTTGTTAACCAGGCTGGTCTCAAACTCATGAGCTGAAGCAGTCCTTCCATGTCAGCCCCCAAAAGTGCTGGTATTACAGGCCTGAGCCACCATGCTTGAATGCCAACAGTCTTTTAAATTAGCAGTCCCCAACCTTTTTGACAACAGAGACTGGTTTAATGGAAGACAATTTTTCCACAGACTAAGGTAGGGGACAGGTACGATTTTGGCATGAAACTGTTCTACCTCAGATCATTAGGCATTAGATTCTCATAAGGAGCACACAGCCTAGATCCCTCACATGTGCAGTTCGCAACAGGGTTGGCGCTCCTGTGAGAGTCTAATGCTGCTGCTGATCTGACGGGAGGCGGAGCTCAGGCGGAAATGCTTGCCTGCCGCTCATCCTCCTGCTGTGTGGCACAGTTCCTGGCAGGTCAGGGACCACTACCAGTCCATGGCCCAGGGATTGGGAATCCTTGTTTTTTATTGTGATTTTAATTTACATTTCCCTGATGGCCAGTGATTGAGCACTTTTTCAACAGCTTTTTGTGGTTTGCATATCTTCCTTGTCAATTGTTTAAATCTTTTGCCCATTTTGTTTGTTTGTCTTCATATTATTGAGGTGTAGGGAATTTTGATATATTCTAGGTACAGATCTCCTTTGTCAATCATATGTTTTGTGAATTTTTCCCAGTCTCTGGCTTGCCTATTCATTTTCTTAATGGTGTTCATTGTATTTTTTCAACATTTTATTATGAAAATTTTCTCCTTTTTTGAGACAGAGTTTCACTCTGTCACCAGGCCTAGAGTGCAGTGGCGAGATTTTAGCTCATTGCAACCCTCCAGGTTCAAGTAATTCTCCTGCCTCAGCCCTCTGAGTAGTTGGGATTATAGGTGCCTGCCATGGCAACTGGCTAACTTTTGTGTTTTTAGTGGAAATGGGTTTCACCATATTGGCTGGGCTGGTCTCAAACTCCTGACCTCAAGTAATCCGCCCACCTCGGCTTCCCAAAGTGCTGGGCTTACAGGCGTGAGCCACCTCACCCAGCCTATTATGAAAATTTTCAAGCATACAAGAAGTTGAAAGACTTTTATAGTGAACACCCATACACCCACCACCCAGATTCTGTCATTAACATTTTATTATAATTGTCTTTTCACATCTGTGTCCATCTATCCTGTTATATGCATTTTAAGGTAAATTGCAGAATATTTGCTTCCCACAGATACTTCACAATGCATTATTATGAAGTATAAATAATTATGAATTTGAATTCAGTCATTGCACCTTTTTTCTTTTGAGGTAAACTTTTCGTACAGTTTACCTCAAGGAAGGGTGTGTGTGTGTGTGTGTGTGTGTGTGTGTGTGTGTGTGTTTTAAAACGGAGTTTCACTATTGTTGCCCAGGCTGGAGTGCAATGATGTGATCTTGGCTCACCACAACCTCTGCCTCCCAGATTCAAGTGATTTTCCTGCCTCAGCCTCCCCAAATCTGGGATTACAAACATGTACCACCATGCCTGGCTAATTTTGTATTTTTAGTAAAGACAGGGTTTCTTCATATTGGTCAGGCTAGCCTTGAACTCCCGACCTCAGGTGATCTGCCTGCCTCAGCTTCCCAAAGTGCCGGGATTACAGGTGTGAGCCACTGGGCCCAGCAAAGGCACAAGTTTATAGTGAACATTGGCTGAGTTTTGACAGATGCATGCACCCGTGGAATCCTAAGCCCCATCAAGATGCAGAATGTTACCATTACTCTAGGAAGTTCATTCAGGCCCAGTCCTAGTTAATCTCTGTCTCCATTCTTCCAGATCCAATCATCATCCTGCTTTTTCGGCATCATAGGTTAGTTTTGTCTGTTCTAAAACCTTATAAAAGTGGATTCACATATTATGTACTCTTCTGTTTAAAGCGCCTTTCACCTAGTATAATGGTTTTGAGATTCATCCATGTTGTTGAACCTATTAATAGTTTATTCCTTTTTATTACTGAGTAGTAATTCTTTGTATGACTATATCACACTTTATCCATTGTCTTGTGAATGTATACCTAAGATGTTTCCAGTTTTTGTACATTATGGATAAACTGCTGTGAACATTTTTGTTCAAGTCCTTTGTGGGAATATATTTTGTTTTCTTTTTTTTTTTTGAGACAGAGTCTCTCTCGCCCAATCTGGAGTGCAGTGGAGCCATCTTGCTCACTGCAACCTCTGTCTCCCGTGTTCAAGCAATTCTCCCTAACCCTCCTGAGTAGCTGGCATTACTACAGGCACCGGCCACCACGCATGGCTAATTTTTGTATTTTTAGTAGAGACAAGGTTTTACCATTTTGGTCAGGTTGGTCTCGAACTCCTGACCTTGTGATCCACCTGCCTGTCTCCCAAAATGCTGGGATTACAGGCGTGAGCCACCACACCTGGCCTTTTTGGTTTTTTTTTTTTTTTTTTTTTTTTTTTGAGACGGAGTCTCACTCTGTCACCCAGGCTGAGGTGCAGTGGTGTGATCTCAGCTCACTGCAACCTCCACCTCCCAGGTTCAAGAGATTCACCGGCCTCAGCCTCCAGAGTAGCTGGGATTACAGGCATGAGACACCAAGCCGGGCTAATTTTTGTATTTTTGGTAGAGATGGGGTTTGACCATGTTGGCCAGGCTGGTCTAGGATTACAGGCCTGAGCCACCTCAGCTGCATCTTTCGTATTCCAAGTTGATGTAGTGCCAGTCTTTCTTTAAAGAGGACGGTATAAAAATGAACCCTTCCCGGCCGGGCGTAGTGGCTCATGCCCGTAATCCCAGCACTGTGGGAGGCTGAAAGGGCGCGGATCATTTGAGGTCAGGAGTTTGAGATCAGCCAGACCAACATGGTAAGACTGTCTCTACTAAAAATACAAAAAAAAAATTAGCCAGACATGGTAGCATTTGTCTGTAGTCCCAACTACTCAGGAGGCTGAGGCAGGAGAATGGCTTGTACCTGGAAGGCAGAGGTTGCAGTGAGCCGAGATCGCGCCACTGCACTCCAGCCTGGCCGACAGAACTAGACTCTGTCTGTTCTGTCAAAAAAAAGTGAACTGTTCCCTAATCTTTCTTGTGTGAAATATGAAGACAAAGGTTGAAATCATGACGTTCACATAAGGATGACAACTTCAGAGAAGAAATAGAGGAGCAAGCAATGGACGGTAGTTCACTGTAAATTCTGTCCAGTCTCCAGCTTTCGGCAGCTTTGGGAAAGCAGGCTAAACTCTTCTTGGGGTTCTTCAAGTTAATAACAATAAGCAAGGGTGGAGTGCTTAATCCTTTTAAGTGATAAACACTGTGGAAGGCGTGTCTTCAAGCGTCCCACTCCCTCGGGCCTGTAGGTCACGTGAGCTTAAAGTACTTCCCGAATCCCAGCCACTGTCTCCTGTAGGCGGGGATCACAGTCTGAAAGGACAGCAAGGAAGAGGTAGGAAGGGAAAACTAATTGGAAGGAAGTTTAAATATAGAAAGAGTAAAGTATTCCTTTCTAACTATAACAATGCCGCACTTTACTGTGACTAAGGTAGAGGACCCAGAGGAGGGAGCAGCAGCTTCGATCTCTCAAGAGCTTAGTTTAGCAGACATAAAAACCCGGATTCAGGATTCAGATGAACCAGGTGAGTAAGCAACTTGGGTGCTTTTGGAACCTATAGAATTTTTCATGAAGGAAGAGGTAACTAGAATATCAGAATTCAAAATGCCTTCTTTAGGACAGAGAATAGTGTTGTGGTTGAAGTGTTTTTCAGTTACTTGTTTTACTCCCCTGTATATCTGATAACTTCTCTTACTTTTCTCACACACTGGTTTGTTTTTCCTCACAATGAGTTCTGTGTTCATTACCAACAGGTGAAACTGAATCAGTGGCAATGTTTGAAGAGTTTTCAAGCAAAAAGAATGGCACAGTAGAAGTCAGTTTATGTGGAATTTAGAATTCACTTTTTCCTCACAGTTTAGATTGTATCTGGAAAAGCCTTTAAACCCAACTAAGTGGATATAGCAGTTTATGTAATATTATATAAAGAGGGAGCATGGTTCAGTAGTTTTGTACCGTGGACTTTGACTGTACTTGTGACTTCTCAGGTTATTCAGTGTTTTGCCTCAGTTTACCAGCTGAACAGTAATTCAGTAGTGAATGGTCCAAGAATTTTTTAATGGCAGAACAAAAGTACAATAGACAGTCATTGTGGTGACTAACATAGCATCAGCTTAAAAAAGTATTTGATTAATGTGATTATCCCTGTTATTTTCTTTAAGTGGTAACAGTACACACTTGCTAGGGGAATTGTTTTGAATTTTTAAACAAGCAATTAAATCTTTGTTAATATTACAGTATTAAATATATTCGTAATTTGAAGCCTCTTATTTTTCAAGTAAATTGTGAGCAGCTTCTTTGGTTATATGAATTTAGGATAAGGGAATAAGCTCTCAAAATTACTTTTATTTTATTTTATTTATGTTTTTTGAGATGAAGTTTTGCTCTGTCACCCAAACTGGAGTCCAGTGGTGTGATCTTGGCTCACTACAAACTATGCCTATCAGGTTCAAGCAATTCTTCTGCCTCAGCCTCCCAAGTAGGTGGGATTACAGGTACCCACCACCATACTGGCTAATTTTTGTATTTTTAGTAGAGACAGGGTTCCATTTTGGCCAGGCTGGTCTTAAACTCCTGACCTGAAGTGATCCGCCTGCTTCTGCCTCCCAGAGTGCTTAGATTACAGGTGTGAGCTGCTTCACCTGGCCTCAAAATTACTTTTAATCCCGTGATTCCATGATTCTCACTTTCCTTTTTTGCGTATAACACATTGCGATTCCTTGGTGTAAACAGTGATTGGTTTTTTTCTTTCATTTCTTTTCTTTTTTTTTTTTTTTTTTTTTTTGAGAGGGAGTTTCACTCTTTTTGCCTAGGCTGAAGTGCAATGGCGTGATCTCGGTTCACCACAACCTCCGCCTCCCAGGTTCAAGTGATTCTCCTGCCTCAGCCTCCCAAGTAGCTGGGATTACAAGCATGCGTCACCACACCTGGCTAATTTTGTATTTTTAGTAGAGATGGTGTTTCTCCATGTTGGCCAGGCTGGTCTGGTTTTCTTTTTCTGAAAACCATTTGAGAATTTTTATGAATCTTGTTTGAAGATACAAACTATTGAGAAAAATGTTCCTTTTATTATTTTCCTTCTAGCGAGAGAATTTTTTTAGGGGAATATCAGAAAAAGGGATTTATTTAAACTGTCCCCAAGGTTATTTTCACTTTGCTAAATAGGATGGTGAAAAGTGGAAAACAAGTTGAACTTATTTGAACTTGAATGTTGTTCTCACAACTCAACTTCAGCTCAGAGGAATTAGGTTCTCTCTCAGGCCTGTGCGTATTTGTTCAGCTCAAAGGAATTAGGTCCTCTCTCAGGCCTGTGCGTATTTGTTTATTTACTTATTTTTTAATTCCAAATGTGATAATAAGGCTTATGTGTATTTGAATCTGCACTTTCTTTGTTGCTTATGTTTGCCACTCTTAGATTTTAATCCCTTTAGGCTTTTGTTTTTGCTGTTGTCTTCATTAATTTCATAAGCTGTAAACAAATGAAATCCATTTGTACCTCATTTCATTTATTATTTTTTTAATTTCTTTTCTTGACCACCTACTGTCTTTCATTATTTCATCTTTACTAGTCTCATTATGTTCGCAGAAATTTGCTTTCTTCAGATTATAAGAGAGTGTTAACATCATTTAATCTATTAGCAACTACCTGTAAAGCCATAAAAATTTGATAGTACCCAATTTTGTAATGAGTGACATTATTAGGCTTAATTTATTTTCTTCAGTAGTAATTGCCTTTAGCAAGGAAGAAGTGACAGATATAATCTAAAGTGAATTTAATAAGCCTTTTTATTTTGGCATTTTCCATAACAGCCCAGAAAATACTTATTTGAATAAGCTATTGCTTAGCAAGTGAATAACTGCTGGTAATATATTATCTAAATTGCACTTGCCTTTTCTGTAGGGTTAAATTCAAGGGTAGGAAAGAGAGAAATATATATGAAAACAATGTAAAAGTTGTTTGTTTTTTTAAAACCTAGAAGTAAAATGGTTTTGAAGATACATGATTTTTTCAAGCAGTTGCTTGAAATGTAGTGAGTTTAATCCCCTTGTTCTCCTAAGTAAAAAAAAAAAACAACTTAAATTGATCATGGTTTTTTTCATGAGCACTTCCAACACTGGCCAGTTATGTACCAGTAGCCTTTTTCATTGTTTTTTCTTCTAAATTTGTATGGAGAGAAAAATATGTAGCATCATGTAAATTGAACATATTTAGAAAGTAAATTATCCTTTATAATGTGTTTTTAAAAGATAAGATTTATTTGAACTGGACAGGTGAGGAATTTGAGATAAAATAGAAGTGGGAATATATATAATCTAATTTTTTGAAAAAGTACAGGTATACTTTGGAAATATTGTGGGCTCAGTTCCAGACCACTGCAATAAAATGAGTCACATTAATTTTTTGTTTGTTTGTTTAGTTGGAGTCTTGCTCTATTGCTGGGCTGGGGTGATCTCAGCTCACTGCAACCTCCACCTCCCGGGTTCAAGCGATTCTCCTGCCTCAGCCTCCCAAGTAGCTGGGACTACAGATAAATGCCACCATGCCTGGCTAATTTTTTGTATTTTTGGTAGAGATGGGGTTTTGCCGTGTTAGCCAAGATGGTCTCAATCTCCTGACCTTGTGATCCACCCACCTCGGCCTCCCAAAGTGCTAGGATTACAGGTGTAATCCACCGCACCCAGCCGTTACATGAATTTTTGACTTTCCACTGCATATAAAAATGATATTTATACTGTACTGTAGTCTGTTAAGTGTGCAATAGCATTATGTCTTTAAAAAACAATGTACATACCTTAATTTAAAAATTATTTTATTTTTTTAAAGATGGGTTTTGCCATGTTACTCAGGCTGGACTCAAACTTTTGGGCTCAAGCACTCCACCCCTCCTGCCTCAGCTTCCTAAGTAGGTTGGACTATAGGCATGCACTACCATACCTGGCTCTCAAAAAATACTTTATTATCAAAAAATACTAATAATCATCTGAGCCTTCAGTAAGTGATCATCTTTTTGCTGGTGGAGGTGGAGAGCATTGATTCAGTGTTGATGGCAGATGGGTTGCTGAAGGTTGTGGTAACTGTGGCAGTTTCTCCAGATAAGATAACAATGAAGTTTACTGCATGAATTGACTCTGTTTCATGGAAGATTTCTCTGTAGTATGCAGTGCTGTTTGATAGCATGTTACCCACAGAACTTCTTTCAAAATTGTAGTCAATCATCTCAAACCTTGCTGCTTTGTTTATGGAATATTCTAAAATTCTTTGTTGTCATTTCAGCAGTGTTCACAGCATCTTCATCAGCTGATTTCATGTCAATAAACTATCTTCTTTGCTCAACCATAAGAAGCAACTCCTTATCCATTCAAGTTTTATGAAATTGCAGCAATTCAGTCACATCTTCAGGCTCTACTTCTAATTCTAGTTCTCTTGCTGTTTCCACCACATCTGCATTATTTTCTCCACTCAAGTCTTGAACCCCTGAAAGTCATCCATGAGGGCTAGGATCAACTTCTTCCCAATGTTATTATTGATTTCTTTTTCTTTCTTTCTTTTCTTTCTTTTTTTTTTTTTAAGGCTGGTCAAGTGAAGGAGTAGGAGTGAGAGAAGGCACAAAGAAAGCTATAACTGGTTGTGATCACTTAGTTGTGAGGTGAACACCATTTCACTCACCAGCCTAATGTTGATATTTTTACTTTTTCCCATGAATCACAGAGGTTCTTAATGCCATCTAGAATGGCGAATCGTTTTCAGTGTACTTTGCCCAGATCCATCAGAGGACTCACTATCTATGGCAGCTATAGCCTTATAAAATGTACTTCATAAATAATAAGATTTGGAAGTTGAAATAATTCCTTGATCCCTAAGCTGTAGATGGACCAAAGATGCTGCTATTGATGTTATGCTGGCAGGCATGAACACAACATTGATCTTGTGTATCTCCATCAGAGCTCTTGAGTGACCAGTACGTTATCAATGAGTAATAATGTTTTGAAAGAAATTTTTTTTTTTTCCTGAGTAGTAGGTCTTAGCAGTGGGCTTAAAATACTTAGTAAACCGCTGGATGTGGTGGCTCACACCTGTAATCCCAGCACTTTGGGAGGCTGAGGCAGGTGGATCACCTGAGGTCAGGAGTTAAAGACCAGCTTGGCCAACATGATGAAACTCCATCTCTACTGAAAATACAAAACTGGGCATGGTGCCACATACCTGTAATCCCAACTACTTGGGAGGCTGAGACAGGAGAATCTCTTGAACCTAGAAGGCAGAGGTTGCAGTGAGCCAAGATCGTGCCACTGCACTCCAGCCTGGGCAACAGAGCAAGACTCCTCAAAAAAAAAAAAAAAATCAGTAAACCATGCTGTAAATGGGTTAGCTGCTATCCAGTCTTTCTTTTTCCACTGAGGATAGACCGTAGATGTGCACCATTACACCTGGATTGTTGTATAATTTTTAAGGGTCTTAGGATTTTCAGAACGGTAAATGAGCATTGGCTTCAACTTAAAGTTACCAGTTGCATTAGTCCCTAA